GCCAATGAGCAAATTCATAACCTACTGTTTCGCTTGCGGAAAATTAAAAGCAGGCCATCTTTTATGTGTGTAATTGAGGATAATTCAATTTAACAGAGATAAACCCTGGTAACTTTTTGAAATTTTAGTTACCATGTCATTACGGTGTGACTTTTCTAAAAACCTAATTCAATTAATTGGTGTTTCTTAAGTCGTGCTCCCAAGCTTGCACCTTCTCCTGCATACTTGACCGAGAGCAATTAAACACAAGTTTACTTCCGAGCGGATGAATTTGTTTCGCTCCCTGATGATGTCATGACTCATGGTGCCTCGGTAGTTGAAATGTGCTGCTTAAGTCGCAAAGTTTAAAAAAATCAAGGCGCTTTTGAACTTTGGTCGTTGGCAAAGCAGCTGTTCCAGAAAGGTTCGGTGAACATGTTCTGTCCTACCTACTTCACGCGGCGTATATTTATCCTTAATGTCAGCCCTCAAACACCACCTTTCACTCCCATTGAATAAGCCATGTTGCTGCACAAAATAGCGGCTATATTTTGGTTTTATATGTCATGTACATCAATTGATTGCGATACACGCAACTCGACTCATTTCAACAGACTATCAAGAGGAGCTGGTGTAGAACGCATCCTTTGGCGCCCCAACTAAACCATAGCTGTCACTTTGAAATCCCTTAACGATAAACCTTTATGGCACTTTGCACAAATATATTTGCAGTCCTGTTATTTGAGCTAAAATTTGAATGACGGGAACGTATGGGACACAGTAAAGGGTCTTGCTGAATCTTCGACGGATAACAGTAACAGCGTATTCCCTATCCGGGGCCTTCGTCCGTTTTCCATGCCATTTAGGCTAGCCACTAAAGAGGCTCGAATATGGTGAAAATATTGGGGCAATTCATTACTTTACCGTGTCTCTCTAACTAACTATGTCTCTTCTTGATAAATGCTTGTTATCTGAGTGCCTTGCGGGTTTTTCCCGGAAACTCCGAGCAGATTTTCCCAATCAGTATACCCTTTCATAATTTTTAGGACGATGGAACCTACGCAATCTAAGAATCGTCACCCCATGGCGATGGATTGTTCAGCTGATTTTTCCCCGTAAACGCATTCACCAGTACACCATGAATCGTAGACGCACTATTACGTTATGGTTGTAGTAAATTAACTAGCGAAACATAACAGCGCCTAAATTTCTGAAGATTATTAATCCTAGTTCTTAGATGAAGAATGAATGAACAATTGTGCACCGGATCCCCATTTTCTTGTGTTGAGGACGCAATTATATTTTCCGTCGCCCTGAACGTGGAATACTTACCCGGAGACTTAAAACCGCCTTGTTTTCCGTAGGAATTGGAATCGTGTACTGGACGTAGGAGCAGCCGACGCTTCGCGAACTAACTTTCACACAGATTGTCTGGTCTTTTGTATTCAGAAAGTTTTCGTCATCTGATTTTTCTTCCTAGACCACTTTATATCTACGGGATGTTTCACCCAAGTCTATTTCTTTTTTGTCATATCCCTGTTTAGATTATGTTCGGCAATTCGTATTTTCAAGATGCCTTGAGATATAATCGAGGCCTCCTCTTCACATAGGCTAATAAATTATGCCTCTAGCAGACGACCCAACTATTCGGAAAATATGTAGTAAATATGTTACACCTCGTTCACATAAACAGTGGTAACTCTAAGCCAAAGGGCGCCTTCGCAATCTAACGGCCGACGGCTTCTTTTCTGGCTTGTTTTCCCTTTTGCATGGGCTACGGAAGGGATCTATCCAGTGCAATATTTACTAAAATATGAAGTATTCGGCGTCTGGAACCTACGCCCATCATTTTATCTCAGTTTACCAAGGGCCAATGAAACGCTGCTGCATACCGTGAAAAGTGGCTAGTGTTTGACATACGTAAACGATCTATTTAATCTTGTCACTCCCTCTGCTTAAACGGCAGTCCTGACAACGTCCAGCTTTTAAAGCAGACTGGGTGAAGGGGAAAGAGTGCTGTATAAGCCAGTTCCTACGGGGCAGTTGGAGTCTTCGTCGGTTGTGTCAGCTGAAGTAACCGCATTTGTGTTTCTTTAGACTAAAGCGGATGTCACACTGAAATATATCATGAATTAGTTGTGCTGCTTTCAGCCTTTTAATCTTAACATACCTGATTGCAGTGACTGCAGATGCAGTCGGCGCCAGTCAACCAACAAGTTCGGACAATTAACGGGTTGAAGAAGTGGAGGGAGGGTACAGTGTGGTTTATGTTAGGATATGATTCGTCAGTGAACCTTAAGGGTTTGCTCACTATACTTAGTCTGATGTTTCCAAAGGTATCATCATGCAGCAAAGAAGTTGGTCAGAGGATTTCTTACTGATGGTATGCACGTCCTTCGACAATGGACCTTTTAGCCAGAGTCTGTTGTCCATTCACCCACAATGAACGTGTTCAAGTGACGTGTGGATAATTACCTGTTAAAGCCCCATGAATAGAAACATACTGCTCAGTTGATTTCAATAGAGCTTCTATTTACACTGAAGGTAGTCCACAAGAATATTTCATGGTTAAGATGTAGTGAACGTTTGGTACGCTGTTATTCCGCAAACGCCTCACCTCGGCAACCATTCATGTTTCCTAAATATTTCTATGCACTTTTGCTTAACAAAAGCGACCTGTAACAACTTTTGCTTATTTTACTATATTTTATACATTCCTAGGAACTCATTAACTCATTGAAACACACACCGTAAGAATATGTTTCGTAAGGGCAAGGTATCCTACATATCAGCGTTCAGATGTCTGGTGCTTGTGAAGTTGGGGGGGGTGGTGCACGTTGCATATATCATGCGCCGATGAGCTCTTTAGTTTATTCTGTCTCTGTGTGCACTTTAATTCCAAGCGTCTGGTCCTTGCAAACCTGGGTGTAATTGGTACATGAGGATGTTCTCTAATTGAAAAATACGCATGCATTCCCAATTCCTAATGGGAAAGTGGTAGCCTGCTCTCTTACGACAGCAGAAGAGCAGTAGTGACATCACTAATAGTAGTACTATCACCAACTTTAACTTCAAAAGTATAAATAAATAACTTAAATAAATTAATACTTATGTACATATGTCGTTTTGTTTATGCCAGTCTTTCAGGCGTTTTCTTCTATACAAACTGAATACCGAAAATTCAATGAGGTGTGTTGTACAAACAGAAATAATAATTTTTTTGTTTCGTTTAATTTCCGAAAGCCTTAATGCGCAAACGTGGAGCAAATGCCTCGGGAAAAGCCTCTTTGGGCTCGGTCCGCAAGTTTCTATTAACATTTGGGTTGAAATCCATCAGATACTGCGGAATTCATATAGCAGAAAATATACGAGCAACACTGGGGTCACACTAATGAGCCGAACCACCCGTAGCCGTTTTACGTACAAAAGGGGTGAAACATGCGTGTCTTGGTTTTTAGCTAGTACTTCCTCTGTCAGTGCGGTCAATACTTACTTATTTACTTATGTATTTTCTTTTGTTCTAGCATACTGGCTTCTTTCAACTTACCTGCGTCACAGTTACCTGAGGATGAACTGCTTTCGGCACTGTCAAAAGCGGCATCTGACGTTCGGGAGAGCGGTGGACTGACCAGTTTAAATGACGCAGTGAAGCGCCTACAATCCCTATGTTCGGACTGCATGGACCTCAGTAAAGACGTGAGTAGCAAGTCGGTTCAGGCCTTTCCTTACCCTATTTTTTTTCTGCACAGATAGTACAGACACCCCTCAACTTGCAAATACCGTACGTTTTGAACCACCGTTCGTAACTTGAAATGTTGGTAATCCTTATTCAAATTCAGTTCGCATGGCACTTTACCGTATTCAAATTCACATTCGTTACTGCTCATGCCAATAATTCAGTGCTTACATGTTCCTATCCTAAAACTGTACAGTCAACTATTTATCATCGTGGTTAGAAAATCGGATCCCAGTGAAACCACTTTAGAATTGCGCTCCCCTTCGTTATTATATCAGCAGGTTCGTAAAGTCAAATTTCAGGAGTAGTGTAGGATCTTGAATTTGATCCAACTGCTGTCTGTGCTTGTTTCGGATGATGAGTCTGAGTGAGAGTCCGAAATTTCAAGCCAGTTAACTGCATCTGCTACCGATCGCGGTTGTTTCTTCTGCGTTTGGAAAGTTGCGTTTAAATTAACTCGGAACGTTCAATGCTTGACTTTATATCATTTTAAGCAGTCAAAATCTTGAATAATCATCTCCTTACTACAAATAAAATCAAAAATTAGCCCCTTGCTTCGCGGCATCCTAGGAGACCAAAATGGCACAAGATAATTTCGAAAGCATTTTACGTCCGTTCTTCGTGAAAACTGAATTCTAGACTTACCTTAGATATATTTGGTTAACTATTCCTTGAAACTGTACCTCGTTATAGATTTCAGAAATCATGCAAGGAGAAGAGGAGGCGGAGAGCGAGTTTATCATGGAATTCGGGCAGCCCCTGACCGATGGTAGCACAGCAGTACAGAGCGGTCTACACTGGCGGACTCTGCTTTCGAGATACAAATTCGCTCTTCGTCAGGTTTCTAATTTTACTCTTTAGCTTTACTATTTTTGTCACTATTCCTTCTGTATTTCAGACAGTCGTTCAAATAAGAACTATACGACAGTTTTCTGTTTCAATGCAACACTGGTTTAAACTACATCACCTACTTGTCAGATTTTCTGGGACCATCTATTTTTTTCCGATATCTTCATATAAACTACAGAATGCAAAACTGTTACCACTGAGCCAGACATAGTGTGGGCAATGGTCGAAAATATGGACCTACCTTATACGTTTCTGGGCTCACATCACGCTTATCTAACGCTTATCTGTCAGGTCGGACTTTCGGTATAAGTTTAGGTTAGGCGTGAGAGATTAGCGTTGAGGCCAGGGTTAAGTGCTAGGGAGAATGGATAAGATGAGGGCTTAGGGTTAGGGGTAAGGGCGAGAATTAGACGTCAGACCTATGTTTAGTTTTAAGGGTTAGGTTATGAATTTCATCTGCTTCAACCTTGTATTATAGGATGTTAATCTGTTCTACTCCGCCTGTACATGGGGTAAACATTCGGTTAATTTCTGACTTAATGCTAAGTACGGAAGCAGTCCAAACTTGCCGCACTTCCTGCAGTCTTTGCGCCTGTCTTTCCTAAACACAATGAACTACTTTAGCATACACGTTTTAATTGGATGTATTTTTCCGTTTTCCAACTGCTGCTCCGATTGATTATGAAAAAACATCACTGTCGTTCACTTTTTTATTGTTTATGTGTTCCAGCAAGGGTGCCATAAAAATCTAAAAAATAGAAACTACGTTCACTTTTCGGATGAAAGTCCAAGGACAAAATTAATTAAACCATTAAAAGTTAATTCCATGCTAGTACGTGTCTCATTAGGAAAGCAATGCCCACTTTACTCAGATTCGATAGGTAGAATTCCTCTGAATTGAGTGTAAATGATTAACTTTATATAAAGTATCAGCTTTAATTACTAATTTTCTGTATATTTCTTGCACCCTTATCAGGCCAACAGCACGGACCAATTTTTACGGGATGTCCTCGGTGACAACCGACAGAACTTTGAACGACTGAGCCTGCCTGAGGCAGAATTTGATAACTTAATTGAAAATTTGATGGAGAAGATGAATTCACAGGGACACACCTGCAATCCAGCTCTGTCGCAATTGTATACGGACGTCGGTCGTCTCAGGCGCGAACGCCACAATTTCGAGTTAGACTTTCAAAAGAATTTTAGTAAGACAAATATTCAGGTGTTTATGGCTATTTCCCCTTTCATTTTCTGTTTTTTGTGGCAATATTTTTAAAATTCCGACCTCCGAACTGAGCATTACGACTAGTTATAGAAAATAACTATAAACTTGGGTACTTTGGATAAGCCATATAAAATATATGTTAGCACCCATTTTGATAAAGATTTCGATTTCAGATGAAAGAATGACCGAATTTCTAAAGTCGGATGCAAATATACGCAACTTTGTCAACGAAGAACTTGAAAAGCTTTCTATCTTCGTTCGAAAATGCACGGACTGTCAAAAGGCTTTGTTGGCCAAGCTTGGACCAATGTCGGCTTGTGTGCGTGAGATCAACGATGTAGAGGAAACGCAACTTTCCGACTTGCTGTTTGCCGCCGAAACGTATAAACAGTTGCAGTATGACTTGAAGCAGGGGAACATGTTTTACGAAATGGTGTTGAGGATTCTTAGGCACTTTTCCCTAACGGTACGTTCCTCTCATCAGCAATTACTTTTATCTGCTTTGCCTCTCAAATTGCTATTTAAGTGGTTGTGGTATTAATAATATAAGTGAACTAATAAGCTATTTGCCTGGATGATCAACGCGAGCATTTTTATCCATTTTTTGTTCGAGCAGCGTCATTTTTACGGAAGCTCATACGCGTTGTGGACACACAGGGTGTGTTATTTATATGCAGTCACAGATCTTCTGGTCGCTATGTTGGAGTACATGCTCATAACAGTTGCCAAAATTGATAAGATGCGGGTGTGATCGCTGGAACCAGAACTTTATTTGTCCGATGTTTTGGATTTCATCGCGGATTAACCATCAGACACAATAGCAGAAACGGATAATTCATATACAGAGGGTTGCAGTAGCATGGCGATTCTATTCCCTGTGTATGAATTATCGATGTCTCCTGTTTTCTCTGATGCTGGATCCACGATGGAATCCTAAAGGTGAGATCAATAAATTTATTGTCCCACCGATCGCATCTTCTTCTCAATTATTTCCTATGACTCGCTAGTTCGTTTCTATCAGCAATTGCCAAAGATTTGGAGTTTAGTAGTACGTCTGGCGGCATGCTAACATGGCGCCTGCCATTCGATCCCGTTTTTGGTGTTCTTGACTCTGTCTTGACACAGGGACCAGATAAATGAAGGAGGAGAAATGGGATAGATGTTGCACATGTCTATCGCCACCATAAACTAATTCATTTGCAATTCCCCATCTCTGCGCTCACACTGCTGTACACGGTGGACCACGTTCGAAACCATGATCAAACTGTCATATATTGTTCAAGTAGTCGATCACTGAGGTTAGTTGTGAAGGCGTCTAATTACTTTATCGTCCAAAACCTTGGTGTCTGCTACGCACCTGGGATGGCCAATTTCTCTGCAGCACTTTATTGTCTTTTATTCGCACAGTGACCGTCTGAGTAGTTGCCCGAAAAAACGGCTTCTTGGTGTTGCGTATGTTCAAAGTCATTTTGCTTAGTGGATACCCCTACAACGGGCCGCCCGGTATATGCGCTGGATCAATACGCGGGCCAGATCAGAACAAGACAGTCGTTATTGGGAATGCACACCCATAAAAATGCCACAATTGGGTAGTGTTGTAGCCTGTCTAAGTAATGGCGCACCATCCGCACTCGATCGCGCCACTGGTTATTTTGACTCTTGCATGATACGGGGGCTCAGATCGATGAGAAAAGTGTGCTCAGTAGATGCTGCACTAGTTCAGTATCACTGTATGCCAACCTCCTTACGCTGCCTCTTCTATTTGGCATACGGTGGACTTCGTGAGTAACTACAGTCTCTAGGACTGAATAATCCTAAGCAACGTGTTCGTCACTCATACCCTTGTCGTCCTGTTTGGTAATTTTCACCCCATCACATTTGGGGTTTGTCGTGGGGTGAGGTGTAACCTGTGAATTTGAGTCATTTGTTTTCTGCTGCGTAGGATAGGCCTGCTTCGGGAGTTCTATGTACTAGCTACTTCCCTGACAACATGCAAACGCTATTTAATATTATGCGCGTGGTCTGAAAAGCCGTTATTTCACTGCCAGCGCATACTTATTTCAGAAAAGTAGTGGGTAGGGTGCATGAACATGCGATCGGATGCACGTGAGCGAAGTAAATTCGGACTTTAGAAGTAGAAGAAGCGATCGCTGGAACAAGGAGTCTATTTGCATGACGTTTCGGATTCTGTCGAGAAGCCTTCATCATACGTGCTAAATCTATGCATGTACTGCATTATTATACGGTTAGTCATGAGTTAGGGTTCTCGGCATAATCCGAAACATTAAGCAAATAAACGCCTTGTTCTATCAATTACATTTTATACTTCTGAACTGATTTCTGGAATCGTATATAAGCTTCTATTGGAAATCCGGACTTGTATGACGAACATTTTTCAGCACAAAATCACACGTTCATATTTTGATACTCATTAATTTTTTATCGCTGTTGGACCCCATTATGGACTGTGTATATGATAGTAAATGTGGATATGTGGTTGCTTCTTAGCACATCAAGAGAAGAGGCATTCACCTGGGGTGGAAAGCGGTAGTCTGTTTATGTTCTCTGTCCCTTCGGAGTCAGGGACCGGGACGTGTTTGTCCCCATAAACGAGTTATTTGACTTTTTCAACTACTGCGTTCGAAGGGGTCTGATTTTAGCTTGCCAGCAGGCCCATGTTGTAGATTTTGGAGTAGCTGCGGCAATTGCTGCGCAAATCTACCAATTGTATATTCTCATGTACGCGCAAGTCACCGTTTCTGTGTTTGGCATTCTGCGGGCACATGGATATCATCGTGTTATGCGACGGCAGAACTTACATTCGTGTTCTGACTGCCTGAGTAACGAGCGAGGCTAATCTGACATCAGTCGGCTGTTCGGCTACGCAGAAGGGACCTTTATTTAACCCGGATGCCATTGCGTTAACTAGGTACGGGTTTAAGGGTTGACAATTGATCGCTTAATCTACTGCCATCAAACTCTCCTACAGTCTGCATGGGTCGGCTAACGTACCTTTAAGGAAGCATTTAAGGTTTGACACCGACAGTACAATTTACATGTAAACATACAACGTACCCTTAGAGCAACTTTAACCCTTTCAGCACAAAGAGTTTGCATTCTGCATATACGCATCCAGTCAAATGCCCACTCATTCCTCATGCCTTACAATACAAAGCGCGCACAGTACTCTCTGATCCCTTGATTGAATGAATATATTCTCTAATCTCTTGGGCATTTATAATATGACTGACTATATGGCTCTGCTCTAACGTGCATTGTTGATGGTGTTATACTGATTATGCATTCACTTGCTTTCTTTTCACAAAAGCTCACACAAGTCGAAGAAAACAGGGCAGAGAATATTGACAACGCTGCTTTCGCAGCTTTCGTAAACTTGCTCGACGAGCTACTCGACGACAGTCCGGATGATCCACCAGCAGGTACAGATGCCCTTTCATTTCATTTAAATCGGAAAAGTAACCAATCGTGATTGTTGCTGATTTTCTGTTCCATCGCTTCGCCTTACACGCTCAGGTGCTGTCGCATAGGTACGATTCGAGGCACATTTGTGAATTTCAGGTTTAAGTATTAGTAGGAATAAGAAGACTGGCCAGGCACCAGGGGCAGTTCCTTCATTTCCCGAGCTTTTAAATATGTGTAAGGAGTCCATCTTTAAATATAAACATGGTAAGATAATAACGATTATTGCGGATGATAAAAACCGGTCAAACAACAGGGACACAGGTCTGGAGGTGACTGCGCACTGTTCCATAGGTCGGACAATGCATACGCTAACGTTATCTGTCCGCGCGCGGAGACATCGAACTGTCATAAGGGGCTGCCCACGCTTTGGAAACGGGTCACTAATTGACCTACAGCAGGTGCACTATCTCATGAAATCCCACGATTTTTACAAGTAACTCCCTCTTAC